CCAGTGCAAACAAAGTTAAAAAGCTATTTTTTTTCAGTATATATGTTTCTTAGCAACAACTTCCATATAACATGAAAAAAGTGAAAAACTAGAAACTAATTTTTTTAATTTTTTTGTGTTTAAATTTAAATGGTATGTGTACTTGCTTCACATTGTCTTTCTAGGTTGGCGTTCATGATTCAAGTATTTCAAGAGTGATATGTTCTCTTTTTGGATTCATATTCCAAACGAAAAAACTGAAGTTATAAGGGAGGCAACTATGTGCTCAGACAGTCTGTCAATGACCCACCTTTTTTTTCTCTCTCCGTTTTCTTTTTTCCTTTTAAAAATGTATTTATTGCAAGTTGAAAAAAAAAACGAAAAGGTCAAGTTAGTGCTGCTGCTGTTCCAAAAAAGGTCACGAGGTCAGAGTTGAAAGTTTTAAGTTCAGATTGAATCCGACCCTCCTCCCAGAAGGTCACCAGGTAGTAAGGGAGCAGGGCTGCCCATCCTATGGGGATCTTCCACAGTTGGGACTCCCCACAAGCTAGAAGAATAGTTTGGGGGCCCCCACAACGAAGCGCCAGCAAGATCGGCCCCGCTGCTGCCGCCAGCACTGCTGCTCCACTGCCCGAGCCCTGTGGACCCACCGAAAAGATTCAAAGCAGGTCCGACGGGATCTGACTGGGTCTGGCCGGTCTCCAGCGACTGCCAACCTGCGGCGGGTGCACTTGGGGTTGCTGCAGGTGTAGGGGGCTGAGCTTGTGCCAGAAAGCGGCTGACTTCATCATCGGTGGCAAACTCAGCCAGGATGGTAGTGTTTCCCAACACACACCTAGAAGAAAGGGGAGGGAAAGAGCTATGGATTTGAGGGAAATCCTAAAGCACCCGCACGGACTGAGGGTTTCGAGTCCCAGAGTCCCTGATGTTCAAAGTATGCTCCTTTGACCAGCAGCTTCCACATCCCCTGGAAGCTTTCTAAAATGCAGAATCACAGGCCCCACCCCACGCCTACGGGATCAAAACCTGCATTTTAACCAGACCAGGTGATTGAGAAATACTGTACTAAAGCAGTAAGGGATCACTAAATCTCAAGACCTCTAAAGACTACTAGGGGGTACCACGTATCACTATCCTTTTGGAATTTGTATGTTGAGAAAAATGTCATCTTTCTTTTCCCCATGGGCGGTAAAAGGTCACACTGCAAACATCAAGGTGACTCAACCTCACACATCTGGAAGTGCCACTGCTCTGCCTCTGGGCCGGGCTCACCGCCTGAGAGTCACCACTGCTTGCTCGTTCTGTCTGTAGCTTTCTGCCAGGGCCTGTAGCCACAGAGAGTCAGCTCTTCCCTGGCTACCAGTTTGACGGCAGCTGGGAGGGGGGACAGTCAAAGTGTGATCCAGTCCCACCTACGTAAGACAAAAACCTCTGCTACCCGCCAAGCCACGGCGTTTCAGCTTCACCAACAAAGAAGACAAAGTAAGCAACCAGATTCTATTACAAAAAGTGACGGCACCTACAATGTTTCACATTCTCCTGAACACTGGGGCTTTGTTTTACGCTATTAAAATTTACTCACTGCTTCATGACTTCATAAATTCTTTACTTTTGGAATTCTGATTACGGGCCTACACAGATATACAGGGCAATCCACGCCTGGGGAGGTAGAAAAGATCCATCCCCTCTGAACCAAGCAATTGCTTATGCCAGGATGCTGTTTTTGTGCATGTTCTCGTGGATCTTTGCTTTATTAAACAGGTGCCAGAATACTCACGTGTGCATCTTCGTGCGTGTTTGTCTCAGTGAGCGTAGGATGGGTACTCACATGTGCAGTGCAGTCTGGGCCTTGGCTGCCTCCTGTTTGGTGCTGTATCGGATCAGGGCAGTGCCCTGGGTTAGGTTCAGATGGAATGTCAGCAGTGGGCCATGCTGCATGCAGATGGTTCTCAACGTTGACCCATCAATCTAAGGAGTGATGATATTCATGAGTTAAAAACGAGGTAGGGTGTGAACAGAAGTCGAATGGCCTTTCTTGTATATGAGGAGGAGAAGGGCTTCTGGTTTGTAAATAATGATATCGGCACTAAGTAAGTCTTGGACAAAGGAAGGAAGGACTCAAAGCAGGAAAGAGTGCACTCAATAGAGGTCTTAAAGGCAAATTCAAAGTTAAGTTAATTCAAAGCACAGGCTGAGATCTGATGTGCCCATACTACAAAAAAAAAGTTTGCAAAAACATAGCTCAAGACAAATCCTATGATTCGACCTGTAGTCTGTTTTTAAGAGGTAAACACATGAATGTGTGTTGACTTGTGAGAGCCTTTAGAAAGCAGAAACAGGATGGCGTCCAAACAGGAACTTAAGACAAGTTCTCGACCTCATTAGTAACGTCGTATTTGAACTATTCTCCACTCCCCTGGTTAATAATCTCAGAGAGCTAAAGGAGGACACAAGAAAAGCACTGTTAACCTCCTTGACGGTTTAGTGGTTTTTAAATTTTTTTTTAAATTTATTTATTTTGAGAGAGAGAGAGAGAGAGAGAGAGACAGAGAGTGGGAGAGGGGCAGAGAGGGAGAGAGGGAGAGAGAGAGAATCCCAAGCAGGCCCCATGCTGTTAGCACGGAGTCCAACGTGGGACTCGAACCCACACACCATGAGATCATGACCTGAGTTGGAGTCGGACACTTAACCGACTGAGTCACCCAGGCGTCCCCATACCCTGATGAGAATGCTGCTGGCTGACCTAGCTCACAGACAACACCGGTGTCCTTGGACTCCCACGCTGCCCATCTCAGGACGAGCCTTTGTGCCTGCTTCTCTGTGAACCCTGCCACCCTCAGCCTCATGTTGGCCAGACTCTCAAGATGTTCACCGTTTATAGACAGTTTCTCTCACTCCGGACTCGGATGAACAGATGCACTTATTCACTCTGATGAATTTATTTGTATTGAGATCTTAACTAGGTTTAGACAGGCTGCTCAGTCCAACATTCAGTTCATTTCTTTGGAAGGGAAACAGATTACTATCAGAACAGCCTCAGAAACTGTGCTACCGGCGGTGGCAGTGGAAACATTGTGTGGTTTCACCATGGAAACCCTGCAGGATGGAAACCAGCAGCATCACCACAGTTCTTTACAGAAAATGGAGATCAACTCTATGAGCGTGTCCGTGTGGGCCACAAGTGACCTTTCAGGACAGATGCCCTCTAAACAGATTTTAGGTGATGAAAAGTACATTTATCCAGGTTCCAAAGATTTGCCCTTATAACCGTCTTCTAAGCTACCATTGGGATTAGTCTATTAGGTACTTGAGTTTTAAAATTCATCAGTTCTTTCTTATATGAGCACAGTTAACCCCTAGATTCACATTATGTATATACACACATGAACTTACTATTTTTCATAGCATAAAACAGAAGCGAACAGCAGGCTAGCTTGTCCAAGTTCCTTTCAACACAGCGTAGACTTTACGGCCTCTCTCGTCCTCACCATACACCCACCACACTGTGTGACAACTTTAGAATGTTGTCATGTTCTAATGAGGCATATACCGATTTGAGTATGGTCGTATAAAATCTTCATACTTCAGTTGACTCGTAGCTAATAATCCAACTGGGGCTTTAAGCTGAGTAAGAGCCAACCCAGACTCTTCTTCATGTTAACTGTATTTCTGAAACTGCCTTTCTCAACATGTACCCTAAATACAAACCCTGGACTCACTCCCCACAAACAGGTTCCACAAACAGGTTCACTGGGCAGGTAAATTTAGGAGAAGCTGTATTTCTCCACAGAGGATAATACATGTTAGCATATTAAAGAGTCTAATAAGTCTCACAGTGAAGAAACCTGCTTAATTTTGTTTAATCAAGTACATGTTCCAAACATATTAGGCCAGAGACCTATTAATATCCCATGGGAACACTCTAGAAAATGCTAGCTAGCTTACTAAAGTGCGCATGAATCCAGTTATGAATTAAATGCCAGACAATTCGTTCTATGTGTCAAAGGAAGGGAGGCATAATTGACTCCTTTTAACAAGGTGCTGTAAAGGTTGTGCTGTCAAGTCCAAATGAAGGTCACAGGCTCAGTTTCAATGGGTTCACTTAATCTCATTTGCGTGTTCAACATAATACTGCCGCAAGTATGTCAGTTATCAAGCAAACAAGGTGACAGAGTGGCTTGGGGCAAATGAAACCCATCACTGTAAAAACAACCCAGAGGGCATGTTCTGAAGAGAGCAAATTAGTAATTCCATCTACAAAGAAGAGAGTAACAGATGGAAAATTGAAAGCACCCAAGTGGCATTTAAGCTATGAAACTGACAGATTTCTTCTACTGCAGAGATGGATGGTTAATTATTTATGAAGCATAAAAATGTTTGATATTGAGCCCCAAGCCTTGTTGGGCCAACAATCCCCACTCAGGAGTAGGCTTTGAGCCTCGGGTGGGGAGGCCCACCCCTGCATGCTGGACCTCTGAGTAGCAAGCAGGAAATTAATGAGCTTTGTTATTATCTGGCAACATTTCACACCTGAGTTTCCCTTTCTTAACACAATCAAATCCCGTCTCGAAAATCACAAGGAAGCATGGTTACCTGTGGAGTGAGATTGTGAAGAACCAGCCAGTAACTGGGACGAACTGAACCACCATCACTCCAAGTAGAGGCTGTAAGTAACCAGAAGAAAAAATTAGGAAGAGCAGTAAAAAAAAATTCAGAAATCCATGAGTGAGAAAACGTTTTCACATAGGCCCCGTGTGTCTTCTCCCCTTTTATAAACGGTCTTCTATTTTACACATCCCTCTAACCGCATTCATCCTGTCCCTTAATGGTCAGTTTCTCTTCCCCTAGACCTTGTAACCCTGTGCACTCTCACACCTCATTTGTAAAGCCACATTTCCCTCCTAATGTTCTCACGCTGCTGTGTGTCGTTTTTACTTCATCTGTCCCTTGCGAGTTCTTGGCTACCTCTGCCCTAGACCGAACTGCAACTTTCCACTCCAGAGATACTCTTTCCTCTACCAGACAACTGTGATTTCCTCTCTCGTGAAGACTTCATGTCTTTTTTGGTGTTAACATAAGCCCCTTGTGTTTGAACAATGATGCTCCTTTAGGCGAGTCCTTGTCACCTGAGGCAAGCCGTGAGTCCTGTGTCCCCCAACCCCTGACCGATCGGGGTGCTGTGCTGCTCCAGGGAGATGATGGTTTGGGGTTGGTCAGACCAGGAGGTGGGCGGGGCAGCGGTGTAGTGTTCCTTGAGGAAATATGGTTTTTCCACATCTTGTTGGAGAGATGAGTGGGGTTGTGTCCTATGGGATCTGGGGACCATGTTGATTTGTAATCAGGGAACTTTGCTATAAAGAAGACAAAATTAAGGAAGGAGTAAGGTTAAATAGATCACTTTTGTGAATCTACATAAATTTTGTGTATACATATAAATAGTATTCTAAAAATAGTAAGTACACATCTTGAGACTAGCAATACAAAATAACATTAAATATAAAATTTTCAATGACTATTACTCTGAATCAACAACACATGAACTGAAGATTTAATGATAACTAATTCTCTACTACTTTCTTAGCCAAACAAGCCTGAAAGGGAAGATTCATTCAAGGGAAGTTTTCTTAAAACCATTAGTCTTACGTAAAGATATAGTGGAATGTGAACCTTAGCAAAACTATTCTATAAATACTCACTGGCTGAATGGGAAGTACATTAGAAACTTCTAATTTTCTTGATTGTGATTAAGCTATCAATATTCAAACAGATTTTTTTAAAAAATTTTTTATTTTATTATTATTTTTTTTTTTAATTTTTTTTTTTTCAACGTTTATTTATTTTTGGGACAGAGAGAGACAGAGCATGAACGGGGGAGGGGCAGAGAGAGAGGGAGACACAGAATCGGAAACAGGCTCCAGGCTCTGAGCCATCAGCCCAGAGCCCGACGCGGGGCTCGAACTCACGGACCGCGAGATCGTGACCTGGCTGAAGTCGGACGCTTAACCGACTGCGCCACCCAGGCGCCCCTAAAAATTTTTTATTTTTAAGTAATGTCTACACCAAACATGATGCTTAAACTTACAACCCTGAGATCAAGAGTCACATGTTCTACTGTCTGAGCCAGCCAGGTGTCCCAATATTCAAACAGATTTTGAAGAAAAAAAAAAAAAAATCAACAAATATTTGCTAAGGGCTTATTATATTTTAAATCAGTGCTGTGGGTAATATAAAGTTATTCTTAAGAACTTCAAATTCACATGAGAAGACAGAACAGGTGAATAACACAATTGGTAGCTGGAGGTATCATCACATATGTTCAATACACAGAGGAGAAAACACTGTTATGTCATCATCAAAGGCATGGCAAAGACAGGTCTGGAAGGATTTTACGAACGGATGGGCTTGGAGTGCTTGGGTGGCTTAGTTGGTTAAATGTCCAGCTTTTGATTTCAGCTCAGGTCATGATCTCATGGTTTGTGGGACTGAGCCCTGTAACAGACTTTCTGCTGACAGCACGGATCCTGCTTGGGATTCTCTCTCTCCCTCCTTCTCTTACTCTCTGCCCCTTCCCTGCTTGTGCTCTCAATCTCACTCTAAAAAATAAACATTTAAAAACAAACAAACAAACAAAAAAATGGACGGGCTCAGAGAGACAGGAGAATATAGACGAATATCCCCTTTAAACTCTATCTGTACCAAATGTATTTTTCTTCAGTTTTGGCTGAACACCATTTCACAGGGCCAGAGAGGTACAGAAGGCCAGAAAGGCAGGGTGAAGGCCGATGAGGATGCTACCAGGAGTTCTTGCACTAGATTTGGTACATAGTATTTAAACCTGGGTCTCAGCCTGGGTGACAGCAAGTAGGATGGAGAATGGATAGGAGATATGGCTGCAGAATACACTCCCTGGGAGACACCCTCACCACTTGGACTCAGGCGGCAAGTGAGAAAAATCAGGAGACTTTGTGACCCACTGATGCTGGAAGCGTCATTAAAACAAAGACAAAAACTTAGCTAAGGAGGAAAGACAATGTAGGGGAGGGGCAGAGATATACATTCAGTTTAGACAAGTCTGGGGTGACTCTTGGATCATCTCTCAGATGAACGTCCAACTGTAGACAAAAGATTTTTATCCGGTTCAACCGGAGATACGGGCAGTTACTGGAATAAAAGAGTTGAGTGAAAAAATCAGTTTTTACATGTAAAGGAAAAAGCCCCCAAAAGAATAATGTAGGGTAGTGGTTAGAAACATGGATTTTTGAGTTGGCTCCTTTACATATGCACTCAGACCTGAGGCAAATTACATCAGCTCTTTGTTGTCGTCGTCGTCGTTGTTATTGTTGTTTTGAGAGAGTGAGAGAGCATGTGCAAACAGGGTAAGGGGGCGAAGAGACAATCCCAAGCAGGCTCCATGTTGTCAGCACAGAGCCAGACACGGGGCTCGATCCCACAAACTGTGAGATCATGAACTGAGAGGAAACCAAGAGTCAGATGCTTTATTATATCCATTAAGATATAAAAATTAGATGGTTTTACTATATCCATTAAGTTTTCATTCCCTATCGTCTTAGAAAAAAAAAATATATAAGGAACTCAACAAATGTTGGTAGAATTAATTAAGGGCCTCTTTTTTATTTTGTCTTTGGCCATCTGCCTGTAGCCTTTGTCTATAAGTGGAAGGAATTTTTTTTTTTTTTTTAAGGAAAGCAAACTAGAACTGGTTGCCTTAGGAACAACTTGGTAAACGTCCCTGGTTCTCCTCATGGCCCATGAATCCTTTGGCAAACTGGTTAAAGAAAAACGCTTGTGGCACAAAGATCTGACCCCTGTCCTCTCAATGCTCACAAGCTCCTTGCAATGATGTCACCATCTGCCTTGTCCTAAAGCTACATGTCTCATCCTGTCTCTGTGTGACCGGAAGCTCCTTGAGAACATGGCCAGTACAAGAGGTGTGCTTCCATTTATGCTGCCCTTGCTATTCAACTTCCATTGTATTCCGTAAGAAATAAATGCCCATTTCTTTTATAAAAGGGAACCTGGTGGAAAAGTGCAAGCCAAAGGGAAACGAACAGGTCATACTTGTACCTGAAGTGCTATGAACGTTGGTAAAGGAGTTGTCAGAGGCACTGTAGGGCCAGGCACCAGGTGAAGGCAGCGAGGTGTTGAGGGAAGAATTAGACCCTTTTGGGGACACAGGAGGAACAAGATGGAAATCTTGAGACAGATGTCAGTATAACCAGTGCAACCTTAGGTATTATATTTACCCTTCCATGGAAGATTAAAATATATCTTAAACAAACAAACTGAAAAGCTACATATTTTTATGTTTTTTGGTTAAATTATAGATTAGCAGGTGCCAATGAAGCCACAGATTGACAAATATGAAATGCCGGGTTTTGAATGAACACCGAGGATACCTCGCTCATTTACCTGTGGTGTTATCCCGCAGAAGTTGGTGGTCAGTATCTACAATGGGAGATGTGGCTGTACCCCCCAGCACACTTCCTGGGGTGACATAGGGGTCAGATTCAGGGTCAATGTTTTGGATACCTTTCCATGGCACTCCTGGTTGGAATTCTGAAACAAGGGGAACCAATATTAGAGGTAGGAGGATGTTCAAAAAAAATGTTAAAGTCAAGTTAGTTTTTGATACAAGAAATAGATCTGTGAAAGAATACTGAATCTATTTTATTGCAAACATTTATCGTAAAATTAAAAATCACACTGTCAACCCCAACATATACTGTGCTAGCAGCACTTCTGTGTTACCAAGCTTGTCGACCTTCTCGGTGTCTTTGGGGCTGTGAGCCAGAGCTCATTAGTGCCTAGCCTGGTCACTTCTCTTCCTACTTCCAGGGCAGTTCGGCCCGAGAGCAGTGAAACCGGGAGTAAGTAACCTGGTGCTGATGAGAACTGTCCAGGTATCTAGGACACAAACCGGGAGAAAATCTGCATTGGAAGTAAGTGACTTCTCCCATTTATCTCACCGGAAATTGGCTCAGATGAACAAAAGAAAATACACTATAAATGACCATGACCTCGTGGAACATCCAGGGAGAAAGAGCAGGAATAATTTGGCTTATAGTGAGAAAGCCCAGAATATGTATAAGTGTTTATAATTATTTTTATTAATATTTTTAATGTTTATTTATTTTTGAGAGAGAGAGAGAGAGAGAGAGAGAGAGAGAGAGAGAGAGAGACTGACTGACCAAGCATGAGCAGGGGAGGGGAAAGAAAGAGGGAGACACAGAATCCAAAGCAGGCTCCAGGTTCTGAGCTGTCAGCACAGAGCCCGATGTGGGGCTCGAACCCACAAACTGCAAGATCATGACCTGAGCCGAAGTCGGACGCTTAACCGACTGAGCCACCCAGGCGCTCCTATAATTTTTTTTTATTGGTTAATTTAAATCATATTTAAAGTTGTTGGATGGGATTAACAAACTTGTTTTCCCAATCATGACGGAGAGCAATATATAGAATATACAAACAATATGCATTATATGAGCCTTCTTTGGTGGAATGGAACTGCACATATTCATACCACAAATATTCCAGTACAGAAAGAGGTTTAGATAGACATATACCAATTTTTAATTTTTGATTTACCAAATTAAAATTTTTTCTACAATGAAAACAGATTACTTAAATTAAGATAAAAACAGAGGGGAAAAAGTAACAAAATAGTCTCATTGTATCACTACTGCATATCTGGAACCTAACTGATGATAAATACTTGCTTAATGAATAAATGGGTCAATTAAATGGACATTTCAGAAGAACCCATGTTATGAGGCATCCTGTGCATGGATGAATCCCAAGTCTAGCTCCAGCATCACCTTCTTTGATCCCAGATTCCACTCCTCTGACTTCTTTGAGCTTATCTATATCTGTACAATATTTAGCACAGTTACTTGCGTTACAGGTGACCAGTGTCCACACCTTATCTTCCTGACTGAACTCTATGGAGCAGAGACCTCATCTAATGTGAATTTACTATCTTCCCACAACATAGCACATACCTTCCTTTTATCAGACAATAATTACTGAATGAAAAAATAAAGTAAGTGCCTGAGTAACTGGCAAAAGCAATCTGTTCAGAGCCTGAAATTAAGAATTGAAGACAAACGATACACAGAAAAAACATTTCCTGGACAATACCTGGAGGCCAACTGGCATTGCTGGATTTACTTCCGATTTTATTTGTTGGTGGAGATTTGGCAGGTAACCAGCTATCACCAGCAGGACCCGTATGGCCACCCAGTGTGTCACTCGGGATGATATCAAACTGGTTGTATGGTGACCCTCCTCGAGTCTTACCAGGGGCCACTATAGCGCCTGAGGAGAGAGAGGAAATTGATTCACACCCAGCAAAAACAGTATTCTGACTATGCAGTTAAAAAAAAGTTCTGGAACAAGAGGTTGCCCTGGAGAGCCAGTATATAATCCATAAGTAGGATGGCTAGGAACAGTTCATTTCACCTTTCTGAGCTTCTCGGGTTCTCATTAAAGCACACTTATTCTTCAATTTTCCTTTCAGTTTTAAAATTCCATGGGCTTAAGAAATTAACGAAACTCTGACCACCTACAAATCATACCATTATCCCCAGTTTCTATACTGATGACTCAAGAATCAGAAATAGGAAAAACACTACACAAGCTGCAGTGCATAAGAAGCGTTTTCACTACACTTGTCCTGACACCATTCACCCAAGTTCTTTGGAGCTGGTCAGACCTAGGTTAGCTAGAAGAAGCCGTGTAAATGGAGGGAGTTCACTGGAGAGAAAAGCATATGCGCTTGCTTTGAATTCCAAAGCAATGAGATGGAACCCCCGCCCAGGGTCTCTGCCAGCACAAGGTCAGCAGGGGACTCTGCAGCTCGGACACCCACGGCCCCACACACTAAGAACAGCCGATCCTTTGTAACTGCTTTCTTGAGAGCATTTCAGCAGTTCTGTCTGTGCCCTTTTTATGCATCTTATATGCTATGAGGCAGGAAAAAAACCTTAAAAGCTTCAAATTCCCTTAACCTAACAAAAAATGAGCTTCACTTTAAATAAAATTCTTGGCCACCCTATTTATTTCTCAAATGCATTTCACATGCTGCACCATGTCACTTGATCTACCCTTAGGATGCTGTTTATAAACAGATAAAATTATTTCCAGGATGATGTATTAACATATTTGTATAAATATTGACTAAAATAATCTGCTTGGTTTGGCCCGGGAGGAGTATTATCAAAACCACCTTCCAAGCTCAGCAAAGAAGTCATTTGCTTTTCTGGAGCCACTGACAGAAATCTGACTCAAGGGCACATTACAGTGAATAGTAGAAAATGAAGAGCTCGATTACCTTGGGGATTGCTAAGGAAATGGGGAAAACATTATCTATAAGCTCTGAAAAGGCAGGTGGATATTTCAGCTTCAAGATATCCTCTCACATGGCACTTGTATTTATTATCATGCACCTATCATGTCTTTGGGGACAAAGGCACCTGATGAATCATCAGCCTAAGGAAGCAGGGTAAGTCCCCAAAGCTGCAGATGCCGGGTTTGAATTATTCAGTCTAGAGACAGATTTTATAGTTTCAATAAATCATTCTTGGTTTCATGGCATGAAATCAAATGATAATGCTTAGAGATAGCAGGGAAGAGCTCCATGGGGCCACTTTACCACCTCTGAGGCAGACACATTAAATAGTGGTTTACAAAGGAACCCTGAAAGTTTTCAGACTGATGGGGCTGAGGCTTGCCAGGGAACAGCAGCAAGACCAGCCCAACACCTGTTAATACTTGCCTCTCAAGGCTACAGGTGAGTCCAGGTGAATTACTGTCAAATGAAATAAACACTGAATGAAACAAAGGCCGAAGGAAGGTTCTAAGACCTTTTATTTGTTTTACAGGGAAATGGAGAAGTGTTTACAGAGAACGATGGAGATGAAAGGGCCCACAATTCACAACCAAAGCCCATGATGCCCTTAGCTGCTGCCTTGCGGACGCCGTAATTCACAGAGAACAAGAGAGTTTTGGGGAAAGTTCAAATTTCATGTACTCTTCTACTGGTCATCTTTTGGAGATTAAAGGTTCAAATAATCAACATGATATGTATTTGCTGTGATTTCTTAAACCTCAAAAGAATGGGTTCTGTTCTCTCAGCCAATATATTAGGGTTTTATCCTAATGGGTACTCAAGTTCACTGCTACTACTCTTAATCCCGTTATAGGTGGGAAATTTTGCATCCCTTAATTACAACTAGCATTTTAAGTTTTTCATAATTTGAAATACACGCAGCCCCAATCTTCCTCTCATAGGTGATCACAGGATTTGGGGGAAAAAAAAAAATCAAGAGACAAAAAGCTAAAGATTTCAGCTTTAAAATAATTTGTAAGGATATATTACAAGGCCTGCTAAGGGCTGAACACTTCCAACTCATAAAGCTTTGCTCACTCTTACCATTTTTGTGCATATTGGCTTCCTGTGTGGCTACAGAGGGCAGTCCCTCCATCATGGAGGTCCACTGTTTAAAGCGAGACTCTGTTCCAGCCTCCTTCCCACCAACCATGCCATAGTCCATGCCGCCAGAGCTGAAGCCTAAAACAGAGAATCACATTTTACATCTTTCTATAAATTTCTAGCGTCAGTAATCAAAAGATCTGAGGTAGAACCCATGAATAGCTTCCTTTGTCATTTAAAGACTAATTCACAAGAAGTTTCTTCACTGAGAAACAGATTTTGGGGTATCTGGGTGGCTCAGTCGGTTGAGCATCCAACTTGTCTCAGGTCATGATCGCACAGTTTGTAGCTTCAAGCCCCACATCAGGCTTTGCACGGATAGCACGGAACCTGCTTTGGATTCTGCGTCTTCCCATCTCTCTCTGCCCTTCCCCCACTCTCTCTCTCTCTCTCATTTAAAAAAAGAAAAAGATTTTGATTCAAAATGTTCGTCATGGCTCTTGCTTACCAAAACAAAAACAAAAACAAAAACAATAACTCTTTGTTAAGGCATGAAAATGTATATGAATGCCATCTAATTAAGGCCATCTCAGTGCACCTGTGTCTTTACTCATTTAGCTAACACTTGCACCAGGCAGATTCGTCAACTCAAACAGCAATCTCCACACAACAAACTAATATGGTATAACAATAGTCACGAGGTGTGGTGAGGCTGTCTGGGGGAGGAAAGGCTTTGCAAGAGGGACATTTGATTTAGGGCCTATGGCAGGTATAGAAGCCAAGGATACTAAGTACAAAGCTTTGATCAAAGACAATCAGGTGACATCAGGGAATGATGAGGAGTTCGGTGTCACTCGGATGCTCAGTAGAGGAAGTGAGCAGGGTGGCAGGAGATGGGAGAAAAACGAGGAGTTGTATTGTGTAGGGTCTTTATGTATTAGGCCAAGGATTTGGGGACTTTTTTCTCCAAGACATAAAGAAGAAATATTTCTCCAAGAAATAAAGAAGGTTTTTAACAAGTGAGAGAAAGAGATAACTAAGTTTGTATTTTAGAAAAAGAACTGGGGGCGCCTGGGTGGCGCAGTCGGTTAAGCGTCCGACTTCAGCCAGGTCACGATCTTGCGGTCCGTGAGTTTGAGCCCCGCGTCGGGCTCTGGGCTGATGGCTCGGAGCCTGGAGCCTGTTTCCGATTCTGTGTCTCCCTCTCTCTCTGCCCCTCCCCCGTTCATGCTCTGTCTCTCTCTGTCCCAAAAAAAATAAATAAACGTTGAAAAAAAAAAAAAAAAAAAAAAAAAAAAAAAAAAAAAAAAAAAAGAAAAAGAACTGGCTGTGTAAGAATGGCGTACATGGAGGCCAAGGCAGAATCTAAGAGATCAATTTGAAAGAAATCTTTATGCAGTGACGAAGGCTCCACAGCTCAAACTGGCAGTGACAGGTTCAGAGTTTACTTTGCCACGAGCTCCACGAAAGCCTCCGGTGTCAGGCTTCTGGTGGGAGTGTGGGTGGGTAACGTCTTCCCGCTGCACAGGGCTGGACAGCTGAGGTCCAGCATGAGAGGGTTGCTGATGGGGTCTCACGGGTCCCACCATCCACTGTGGGTCAGAACGTATTTCACATGAAAATAAAATAACACTGAAATAAACGAAACAGAGGAGGGGAAGAACGATGGGTAACCATAGTAAAAATGAGGATGGACCACAGGAGTGTGGAGAGCCACCCTGTGTAAAATGCTCGGGTGATCGCAGGAGTCAAAAGCTCATCTACTCTTAGTCAAGAAGATGTGTCATTCTGGCCAGGCCAGACTCCGTGCTATACCCACTTGACTCTGCAACCACCTGATGGTGCCTCAATGGCTCTGAAGTTCCACTCATCCAAACCCCATGAGGGCCCTGGTCACGTTTTCCCCCTATGCTGCTCTGAGTTGTCAGAGACAGTTTTAAAAAGGCAGAGTGAATCAAGCTCAAATAATTCCGAGCACCTTGTCCTATGTACAAAGCGTTGCTATTAATATAAAGAACACTGTTCATTCCCATTGCTTGTAAGCGACTTTACTAGTCCGTGTGATTACGTGGAGGGTGCGGGCAGGGAGCAGAAGTTCCGGAGGAAGCTGGAAATATTCCAAATTAAATGTTTTTTTAAAAGAAGAGTGTATGGTATTTTCTTTTTTTCCTGCGTAGCTGGGATGAAACGAGACTGGAGGAACAAGGGTTTTTTTCTGACAGAAGCTTCAATGGCCTAAGTGGGCCGTTCCTTGGGCAAGTAACACTCTACCTTCGATAGAGGAAACCAGCCCAGGGTGCTTGGATTCCAGGCTAAGCAAAAGCTTGGTTCTAATCATGGAGGAAGAGCTTTTGAGAGTAACCCAGGATTCTGGTGAAGAACAGAAAGAAGGACATGAGGATTAATAAGAAGATAAAGAACTATTCCTTCCGTATTACTTTTCTTTCTTTTTTCTTTTTTTTTAATTTTAACGTTTATTTATTTTTGAGACAGAGAGAGACAGAGCATGAACAGGGGAGGGGCAGAGAGAGAGGGAGACACAGAATCCGAAACAGGCTCCAGGCTCTGAGCGGTCAGCACAGAGCCCGACGCGGGGCTCGAACTCATGGACTGTGAGATCATGACCTGAGCTGAGGTCGGATGCTTAACCGACCGAGCCACCCAGGCGCCCCTCCGTATTACTTTTCTTTAAAGTTGCTCTGAAATTTCTTTAGAGCTCACAGTGAATAACGTTAATTTCAACTGCTTAGAGTTCCTTTGTGACGCACAAAGTGTAGAAAATTAGTAGGAGTTCTCCACCTTAGGAAGAGGGGATAGTTTGAGCAGTTCCATCCGAACCTCAAGTAAAGTGGGCATCTTCCTCATTAGAACCTTGGGGATCAAACACCACGAAAACATGGCAGCATGACAACTGAATCACAAAGTTTGGTAAGCAAACACACAGAGGGGTGTGAAGAGAACAGGAGCTAAAACTGCCTTGAGTGAGAAGTTCATTCTCCAACCCCAAAACCAGGAGAGGAAGAGTCAACGTAAGGTTGTACGTAATTCTGTGTCTGCCTTCCATGTCCTGTAGTAACTGGCATGACTTGTAACCTCTAAGCTATTTGTTTTTTTAAATTTTTAAAAAATGTTTATTTATTTTTGAGAGAGAGAGAGAGAGAGAGAGAGAGGGAGAGAGGGAGAGAGAGGGAGAGAGAGGGGGAGAGAGAGAGAGAGAGAGAGAGAGAGAGAGAGAGAGAGAGAGAGAGAGAGAGAGAGAGAGAGAGAGAGAGAGAGAGAACGAGCACGAGCGGGGGAGGAGCAGAGAGAGAGGGAGACACAGAATCCGAAGCAGGTTCCAGGCTCCGAGCTGTCAGCCCAGAGCCCGACGCGGGGCTCGAACTCACACACCGCGAGATCATGACCTGAGCCGAAGTCGGAAGCTCGACCGACTGAGCACCCAGGCACCCCCCCTAAGCTCTTTGTAAGCCCAGACTTTTTGTACTTGCTGTTTCATCAAAACCAAACCTCCTCAGTCCACCAAGTTGCCTCCCTGTAATTCTCCAGCTCACCAACAGAGCCCGAACTCAAATCAAACAGTCTTTTAATTCAGTTCCACGCACGCTTACAGAAAGCCTCATTTGTGCCAGGCTTTGGTAGGAGCAAAGGCATTAACAGAAATAAGACATGCCCCTTGCTCTCCCAAGGGACTCATCTCCCTAGTACATCATCCCTTTCGCCTATCTTATCATTCCTACAAATCCAACCCTTGGCCTACCTTATCTGTCTTTGCCAGAATTGCTTTCTTTGCCACATACTCTAATTCCTGGTCTATATTCATCATTACCACATGGCTCAGTGTCACCTTGAGGAAATTCTCTCAAGGTAACTTGTCCTTACCCAATCACGCCTTCACGCTCTTTGTCTGTATTAGTTCGTTTCTGCTACTTCTTTTATTATAGATTAGAAAACAAACTAGTGCTTTTATAATAATTAAAATAAAAATAAACTATAAAAGAACGTACCCAGAGTTGTCCATTTAACACATTCTCTTTTTAAATGTTTATTTATTTTTGAGAGAGAGAGAGAGAGAGAGAGAGAGAGAGTGAGAGTGAGAGAGCACGTGAGCAGGGGAATGGCAGAGAAAGAGGGAGACAAAGGATCCAAAGCATGCTCTTTACTGTTAGTGAGGAGCCTGAGGCAGGGCTTGAACTCATGAACTTGAGATCATGACCTGAGCCAAAACCAGATGCTTAACCGACTGAGCCACCCAGGTACTCCGAGATTTTTTTATTTGTAAGTGATCCCTACACCCAACATAGAGCTTGAATGTATAACTCTGAGATGATGATCTACCGACTGAGCCAGCCAGGCACCCCCAAATTTTGATAAATTTTAAACATGAAAAGTTAAATTTTATTGGAAGTACATTTTCTAATAAGACAAGGGACTTTATTTCTCAATTGGTTCAGATACCTATGAATGAGTAGGTATGAGACTGCATTCATGCTCTTCCTATCTAAAAAATTCCTACAGACAAAAAGCACCAAAAAATCTTATGTAAGTAATTAGATGAGAAAGGAGTCTTGTTACAACATCACTTACTTCTTTGAATTCCTGTGGAGGGGATATTCCCTTCCCTCAGCTCAATACATGGATGCTACAACAACTTTAGATAAGTCATTATCCCCAGACAATTTGGTTAAGTATGTTTTCAATTCTGCTAAAAGCAGAGAATTAGAAACCATCTATTTAAAAAAAAAAACCAATTAGTTAAGGGTCAGTGAAGCAGTTATTAGAGTCATTCAACTTTTTAATTTTGGGAAAATATACCAAAAGTGGCTTTATTAGGACTAAGAGACTTTTATTCTTTTTTTTTTTTAAATGTGTTTATTTTTGAGAGAAAGAGCGCAAGTTATCGAGGGGCAGAGAGAGAGGGAGAGAGAGAAAGAGAATCCCATGAGGGGCAAAGAGAGAGGGGGGCACTATCATCGCGGAGCCTAATGTGGGGCTTGAACTCCTGAAAGGTGAGATCATGCCCTGAGCCGGTGTCAGATGCTTAACTGACTGAGCCATCGAGGTACCCGCTTTTAATTATTCTTGCTGGTTTTTAGCCTGCAGGTGTCCTTTTTAGTTTAATACTCGGCAGTATTGAGCTGCAAATTGAACTAGGCAAATTGAAATATTACTCATTTCATTACATCTTTGTTATCTAATTTTCGAAAAAAATTTTAACCTCTCTGTATGCTTTAAATATATTTTCATCAAAATCTTAGTTATAAATTTAGTTTATTCAAGCCAGGCATTCAAGGTGGATTTACTTTCAGTCCCAAAATGTATTTTTCAATTAAAATAAAATGTCATAATATGAATTTAGGAACTTTTTTTAAGGTTTGTTTATTTATTTTGACAGAGTGAGAACACGTGTGTGAATGGGGGAAGGGTAGAGAGAATGGGAGAGAGAGAGAAAATCCCAAGCACTTGGGGCTTGGCCCCACAAACCATGAGATCATGACCTGAGCCAAAATCAAGATCTGGATGCTCAACTGAACCACCCAGGTGCCCCTGAATTAAGGAAATTTTTAACTGTGGAAAAAACTGCAAAATGCATCTTAGAAGGCAGATTGTAACTGGCCAGATCACAGTTAACATGATAAAGACCTAATAAAAATTATCCCTTGTTAAATAAGTTATCAAATGTAAATAAACTAGTAAGTCAATGTTTTTTTTCTCCTTTGAATGACAGAGAGAGATAGAACACAAGCAGAGGAGGGGCAGAGAGAGAGGGAGACACGGAATCCGAAGCAGGTTCTAGGCTCTGAGCTGTCAGCACGGAGCCTGACACGGGGCTCGAACCCACGAACCGTGAGATCATGACCTGAGTTGAAGTTGGGACACTTAACCGACTGAGCCAGGCGTCCCTCTCCTTACTTTAGATTCTAATGCATAGTTACATTTATAAGTTACTTTAAAACAGGAGTATGATAAAAAACATGACATTTCTTCAGTAAGTGTATGTACGTGTATACTGAACTCTGGTCCTTTAGTCATCAGGAAGTTATGCCTCCAGTACAATAATCACAAATAACACCATTAAGCTAATAAGACATCATGATATTTTCTATATATTTAAAGAAATGAGAAGATATGCTGCTAAAAACTAAAAGATTCTCAGCTAACATATAATGTTACTACCCCCACCCCCAATAATTTTACTTCTTAATAAAAGACAGAAAATATTAAAGACGTTGTAAGAACTGTCACTGGAACATCGTGATGTTAGGTTTTTAACAACTGACTGATTAATGAATACCCAGGCTAAAGGCAAGCACGTAAAAGGTTTATTCACAGGTTTTACCTGATAAATGGTGAAAAACATGTATTTAAGAGAGTCAGTGTCATTAACCTATGTTGCTCAAGCTGTTCAAAGGTACTTTTCTTTCCAGTTAAGACATGCTGTAGGGAGCAAGTACCGAGAAGAGCCATGCACATTTACACGCGTGAAAAAGCTGTCTGGGGCTTCCAGATGTTCACTTTGCTTTGTACCACTGGGCTCTACTTTGAGAACCACGTGCTCTTTGACAAAAGGGGATGGAAGAAACAAAGTTGCCCTGCCTTATTATCATATACAGTGTCTAAATTCACAACTAGACGCACACCAAAACACCCAGGTTCTTATGTCAAGCTTTCACTTTAACAGAAAACAAGATGAAGAAGGTGAAGACTGGAAACACAGAGTTAATGACACCTTCATTAGTCATTATAGGAGGCTTTCCCCTTGCTTGGCACCCTGGATTTCTACATCCCAGACGGGCATGACTTAGTAAGATAGGAGATGGTGTAGAGTTCTGTCTTCTCTCATGTCAAGTGACGGTACAGGCGTTAGTCATGTATGTTTTTTTTTTTTTT